GTTGGTTCACTAGGCCTACATACGACGAAACCGACAGAACACGAACATCAAAATCAAAGCACAGGCGGTAACTTCGAGCGACTTCTGCCGCGCATAGATTTACATGCAGCGCTTTCACTCGCCACCACGGTCACATACAATTTTTCAACCCTGGAGCCACCGTACCTGAACCATGCCGCGAACCACGCTAAAGTGAACTAGATTTAACCACGCCAACGTCCCGCTCGCCATTTGTGTTTGCTCACCTTGTCCGGCTTTGGATTGGATGCTGGATCGGCTTTCTAGCAAAGTCTATCAACAGCTGGCTCGATGCTGGATGAGGTGTTTTCTAAACACGAATTCGCAAATATATAATTGTGCTACTATGCTACTCTAAAACAAAAAAAAAAAAAAAACAAAAAAAAAAACGGGGGCAGGAAGAAATACGCGACGTTTCGACGGAGTGCCCTCTGGGAACTAGTTGGCCACTCAGTTTCGGTTTCGATTGAGTAGTTTCCTTTCATGCTATCACGCCGTGACCGAATGCGCCGCTTGAGTTTTCGATTATCTGACTTTTCACGAATGTACAATACATTCAAAAGTACAATACATTGATTCATCGGGTTTATATAACTGTAGGGAAAAATAAATTATGTCTCAACGTCGTGGTCACTGTTAATCAAGTAGTAACAATCAACATTTTTGAACCGAAACTGTTAAAAAGCGAGGGCAGACGCTATGAAAGCGGTGGCAGCGCGTGCAACTGGGTGGATCGCTTACTGAGGCCGACCGCTCAACGACCGCTTGCGCGGAGCGCTCGGCATCTGCCTGGGCAAAGGGCTGGATCGCGCATCCCCGGTTGGTCGCTGCAGCTGCAGCGCGAGAGTGAAGCCACCGATCGGCGATTTTGCATGTTGAAAAATCGCGTTTTTGGAGCGTTGCGGAGGCTGGTGGCAACATGCTGAAGACACGTTTTCTACTCGTTCGTACTCATTCGTCGAAGAAGCTCTTTAAACGCCTGTGTAAGCCCTGAGACTTGCCGTTGAGAACATGTGGAAATTTTTACGGAAGCGCAGTGCCGCAGTAAAAATGCCCAACTCATCGAAAGCAAGTTTCGCCGCCACAATGCAACGCGCGGGTCACGAGTGACCCGCGCGTTGTATCATTAGACTTTTTCCATAATGCAACGTGCGGGACCCTTGTGACGTCCCACGTGACGTCAATTGTGACGTCATTATAGGAAATGTCCCATAATGCAATGCGCGGGTCACGAATGAGACTGCACATTGCATTATAGGACGTTTCCCATAACTCAACGCGTGGTTACGCCGACGGCGACGTTGGCGCCGCCGACCCGCGCGTTGCGTCATGAGACGCTTCCCATAATGCAATGCGCGGGTCACAAATGAGACGGTGCGTTGCATTATGGGACGTTTTCCATAACGCAACGCGCGGTTACGCCGACGGCGATGTTGGCGTCGCCGTCGCCGACCGCGCGTTGCATCATGGGACGCTTCCCATAATGCAACGCGTGGGACCCTCATGACGTCACACACGCCGTCATTATGGGAAACGTCCCATAATGCAATGCGCGGGTCACAAGTAAGACCCGCGCGTTGCATTATGGGACGTTTCCCATAATGCAACCCGCGGTTACGCCGACGGCGACTGCGACGGCGATGCCGCTCAAGCCGGAAACGGGCGTCTAAGAGCGGCTCTCTAAAAAATTAATAGATGTAAACCAAATTAAATTTTCATTCCACAGCCATGTTTGATACCGTCTTTTTTAACAAAACTGAAATAAGCCTTTGTTAACTGGTTTAAGGATGACGCGGCGTTAATACTAGGCCAAGGATAATATTAGGTGTCATCTTTTAGCATATTGAAGACATATGTCCAACATAATGGTTATTTGTAACCATCATATAGTTTCTATATCAGCGAAAAAGCCATGTCGGTTACATATCAAAACTTGCATGGCTCGAATGGCATGAGAAAGCAGGGAGAAAATGTTATCGGTCAGTCACCGAAAACTCCGTGGCTGAACTGGCCGGTGATTACAGAAAGAAAACGATATCGGCAAGTCGCCGGAAACTCCATGGCTAGACTGGCCGCTGACTACAGCAAGAAAACGATGTCGGCCAGTCACCGGAAACTCCATGGCTAGACTGGCCAGTGACTACAGCAAGAAAACGATATCGGCCAGTCACCGGAAACTCCATGGCTAGACTGGCCGGTGACTACAGCAAGAAAACGATGTCGGCCAGTCACCGGAAACTCCATGGCTAGACTGGCCAGCGACTACAGCAAGAAAACGATATCGGCCAGTCACCGGAAACTCCACGGCTAGACTGGCCGGTGACTACAGCAAGAAAACGATGTCGGCCGGTATCGGGAACTTTCCGGCTGGCGCTGGCCAGTTTAGACAACGAGTCCCCGATATCGGCCGGGATCGGTTTCTTACCGGCGTCCCTGGCCGGGATCCGCCGTGCAGCTCCCGGTACTGGCCGACGTAATCCCAGTATCGGCCGACATGGTGTGCTACCTGGGATCCAGCTATCGCTTCTGTAAGTTCATATATTACGTAAACTAACTATACGTTTTAAACCAGCTAAGATATATTATATAAACTTAGCAAAAGAAGTGTGCAGGTCAGCTTTGATATTCATAACATGACAAGAGAGACTATAAAAAGAAAAAAAATTGTAACACATTGATTCTATGCATAAATTCAAAATTACAAAAAGTGTGTTTTTATGTCAGGAGAATGCCCAGTTAAATCCGGTAGGGAATCTTCCCGCTACATTTAGCGGGCGATTCTTGATTATGCGTAACGTACAAATCAGCTTAATTACATATTATGCGTTAATATGTCAGGCTCTCTTTCTGTTTCATCAGAGTTCATATTGTTTTTTATATTTGAAATGCTGACATTTATATTATCAAGGCGTTGTTTCAATGCCATTAAACCTAAAAGGGAAAACTTCGTGCGGCCTGGACCGCGCACCCCCGAATATCCTTTTTCGTCCAAACTCTGAAGTTTGGGCGAAGTTTTAACTTGTAATCTTCCGTGTTTCCTTTTAAAAATTGGCGTTCTGCCCAACGTGTCGCACTTATTTTTTAAAAAGGGGGTCCGTTTATCACCGAGCAATCACCGGCCCATCTCCTCAAATTGCACATGTTTCAAGCTATCTTGAAGGCTTGAAACACATGTTTCAAGCTTTCAACATATGATGCTTTCCGTATGCATTTGGTTCGTGTTTAAATCAAATATTCAAGCAAAATATATATCAAGCTGAACACAAGCAAAAAGTGGTCGTCTTCAGAGCAGATCTGTATATCGTTTGTTTCCTCAACCTTTTCCTCAGTTAAAGATATATTATTATGTGTATACCTCACAATATAATTAAATTTGCATAAAATTAATCTTCTGCATTTAATGATCGATCAAATGGAAGAAGTCCTTTCTTCTGTTTGAAATGACTTTTAGTAAAAGAAATTACTATGCGATTTAGACTGTATAGGTCTGCATAGGAGGTAATAAAATTCTACGTTTTGTTTTTATAAAAGAAACATTTTTTTGTACCCTGCGTGCTCCGTTTTCGTTTTTACCCACCATTCCCAATAAAATAGCTGAAGAGTTAATCACTAAGAGACAGGACCTAGCTATTGGTGCTGTCCCGAGTCCTCTTCCTTCCCATTTCTGGCGAAGAAAAAAAAGTACGTGACACCAATTGTTTGGGTCTCACAGTTCAGATCAGTGGTGTAGCCAGGAATTGTTTTCGAGGAAGTTGGGGGTGGGGGGGGGGGGGGGGGGGTTTGGCTGAGGTGTCTGGGATGTTCATGACTTGGGGTACGGAGTGGGGGAGTTGGGGAGGGGGGGGGCGTCAATATGCATACGTATATTGTAGGGTCGGCTGGATAATTCGAGGGGATAACTCAGCTGGATAATTCGGCTGGATACTTCGTCAAAGTCAGTGGCTAGGCCAGTGACTTTGACGAACTGCGTAGTGTTTCTAGGCCCTTCCATGGGGGAATATATGCAAGCCCTATGAAAAGGCTTTATGCTTCAGGAGAACTTTTTGTATTCAAGCAAACCCAAGGAGCATGCAGGCGAGCTGGTGGAATTGAACAGCTTGAACACCAGAGACAGGAACAAAAAAAAGTGCACAGCAGAGGCACACAGGTCTGCGTTCATGTGGTCAACACTTTTGTTCCTTAGTTTTGGGTGTTAAATATGTTGTAACATTCATGTTTTTGTTTCGTATAGTAGTATATTAAAGATGTTTTAAACATGTGAGAAGTACGATGAACTGAGACTTTTCTGGTATCCTTTTTAAGTGTGCTGAATATATAAAGTGTTTTCACCGTTTATTTCCTCCGCGTTATTGCTGCAACGTTTGTTGGTTAGGTGCCTTCTTTCCTAAGGAATATACATTTAGCTAACCCAGAATTTCTAAAACGTAAGTTCAAAATTGTATAGTTAAAAGCGTGACAGGTAAAAACTTAACTTTGTAATACCTCTGCTCAGGGGGCGTTCTTAAAGCCATCCGATCGAAGACTTTCACAGAATTGGCAAATCAGGTCGCAATTCCACTCGGTGTGCGTGCAACATGAGGAGTGCTCTACTTCGTTTCAGCTGAAGTCCAGACGCAGCCGACGCTGCGAGCTAATGATGGCAATCAAGCAGCGTCAAAGCTGCAAGTCACTGGGCCTTTTTTGTTTATGATTGTTTCAGCCAAGGTAGAACATGTACAGAGATATGACGAACACAATGATGGTGACCTTTTCACGATGTCTGATTGGTCCTATCAGTTTGTAGCGTCTGCTGCGTCTAGACTTAAAGGCGAAACGAAGTATAGTTAATCGATTCCACAGAGGCCTTCCCTCTCAATGCCCTCGACGAGCCCACTAAACAAGGGCATTTACATGGTTTGTAATTCGGATGCTTGAAACGCTTTATAATTTTTTTTTTTTTTTTTACTGTGGGACTTTAGGAGTTTTGTTAGAACCAATTATACGTGTCTCTACTTTTTAGCATGGGTGCTGTGTATGACGGCCAGGGACCTCCTGGAAGAGAGTTCGTACCAGGTAGCGACGGAGCTGGATACTGCGACCCTGAAAACGGATTTCTGATGGGACATTGGGGCAAGGATGAGAAGAATAGCTCAACGTTATCTAGATGCACTCCGCACCAGATCATACTTGGTCTAAGGTACGTCTGATTTCGATGGAATTGATTCACATATAGCCTCAACGATGTCCAGAACAATGTTAATCAATACAAACGGTACTTAACCAGGAATTGGGTGTGCTAATAATAAAAAGAAAGGCCCGAGACATATAAAAAAGCTTATCATTGAGGAACAACGTTAAAGGTGGTAAAATAAAGTGTTTTCTGAGATTGTACATTTATGGTAATAAAATAACTCAATTTACGGGCTCCAAGCATTCTAAAGAAACCTAAGAATAGATTGATACGCGTCCGATTTCCGTAATAAAAATGGGATCCAAGATCACAACGTGCCAGATTTTCTCTAATTCGGCGCAGAAACCGAAGGCCGCCGTCGGATGTGACAGCCCCTCGAGGGCGAGCGCTTCCCGCGCGGCGGGGGCCCCAATCAACGGCTGACTGATTTTTGAATGTGTGCGATTCGCGCTCAGGAAGTGGTAGCTCGCGATAGGCTCTCGCATGACGAATGGTGCCCGAGAGATTTATTTTTATTTATTTGTAATATAATTAGTTCAAGTTGAGGACTTTAATAGGGGTAGTAATTAAAAAAAGACACTTTGATAAGCAAGACAAATAAAAGCAGCAATCGAAGCGCACAAAAAAACGCCGGTACACAAAATACAAAGAGTACAAACTATAAGGGGCATCCAATGTACGAACGAGTATATATATGTATATTGACATGCACAATAGTTACACTGTGTCGAAATAAGATGGAGACAACTAGGAATCACGGAGTGAACAACGTTATCCGGTAGAACATTACATTCTAGCAACGGGGGAGGGGGGGAATTGAAGCAATCGTTATTAAGCGAAAATTTATGCAAGTAACGCGACTGCGTGTTACGAGTGATGCGCGAGTCATGAAATGACACGTAATTTGATCGATCAATGAGCAGCGCATCACATACGAAATTGAAGACAAGCTTCAAGTATTTTTTTCTCTGTCTAGACTCAAGAAAGAAATGGCGTGTTGCGATTTTGGATTCCATTCGGATTAAATAAATCGGACGCGTATCAACCTAATATTGTTCTTTTAGAATGCTTGTTGTCCGGAGATTGAGTTATCACTAAAAATAGACGATCTGAGACACCACTTCAGTGCCCATTAAACGACAGTAGCGGATGTCAGGCTACGTTTATAAAGTAATAATTATTCAAAATATTACCGAAACTTACCGGCAGCTCACGATTTACCGACATCAGTATCACATCAAAGCTCAGGCTGGAAATTTTGGATTAGCTTTCCTTTCTGTTTCTCATATGGGACGCGCCTGGGTTTTTCATGGAGTAAATGGACTTCGCAGGATTGGTTGGGGCATACTCTTACATTATGCAGGGCGCGACCAGTGAGTAGACTGTGCTGGTAGGCGAGCTTATCTAATTTGTGGACATGTAGTTTAGCGTTTATTTTTCTTCTCTACCAACGGGTCTTGTCTGGGTTGAGCATGCTAGATAGAAGTTGCTCCATTTTTCTAACGTAGGACCTATATCTAGGCTACAGGTCAGTGTTTTATTTGTACACTCTCGTTTGAGACGTGGCAGTGAGTTGGGCACACCTGAGGCCTAAGTAAAACGTGGAAAGAGTCGTCTCATACCGACCGCACTTATCCGGATGGGTTCCAACTAGATTAAATAAGAGCAACCGCAAGTCTTTCGTCCAACTTCAACAGTCCGGCTTTTTCTTCATGGCCCCCGAATTACCTGAAATTCTGATAAACAGACGAAGAAACGTCGGTGAAATAGTTACCCAAATAGTAGTCCAAATATTTTTTCACTAAGTTATTAAATAATTTAAAATCTTGGTCCTCACCGTGTTTTTGGAACTGAAATACATTTTTTGACAACAATAAATAAGTAACGCCAACGGGAGAAAGGGTTTCACGTTGGACTCTAAAATTTGTTAAAAAGTGATTACAGGCAGTTTTATGGTTTCCAATAAATAATTTGGTAGCTCACTCAAGCACCCGTGTAGTAACAGAAATGAATGCTGGGCATAGTCACATTTTTAGACTGCCTGCTCGACCTGCAAGCCTGCCTGCCACTGACGTCACGGCACTGAAAAGTGGGGGTATATTTGAATATTGGTTTTGAGATAATTTTCTTTTGTCGATTTTACAAACTCTATATTGAATCTTGGGATTTTAAATAGCATACCAGAAATGGTAAAGGCAGGTGATTCACAAAATATATCTAGTGCGCGTAGTTTAAAAAAGCACAGGCGTCCCACTTAGGTTGAACTGGTGAAAGCAGCATAAGCTTTGATGAGTTTGAAAATGGGCTCCACTTTACTGCTAGAACAAATGAAATGGGGTATAAAAATGACTTTGCACATTGTTTACTTAATGACCATATTATCTCACGCCTGTTTTGTATTGAGAAGATCATGCTCTTGTGAAGCTTTAGTACGTATGAAGCCTAATATATCGCCAGTGGCTGCAAGCAATTAAAAATCTGCAAAAGATAGTCTAGTATGACCGTCCTAGTCTTCAGAAGGATAGCCAAATAACACAAGCACGGCAATGCTCATGCAAAGGTAGTAATGTTGGAATGTTTGCTCTCCAGAAAGTAAGGTATTTTGAATGTGCTGAATAAATATCTCAAGTCGACTTGACTTCTTAAATTTTCCACATAGCATGATAGTGCTGAACTCATATTACTACATTACATGAAAGATATATTCCGTTACAGGCAACGTGGACTCGAATGTTATGGAAATTCAGATGAGAAAGGTCTGTACGAAGATCCTAAGGATAAATAATATCTTAACAAGCAGAGCTTAACACTGTCTTCGAGAACGAAATAACAGAAACAGCAACAAGCAAATAAACCTGAAAGTGCAGGACCAAAAGCAAAGTGCGAACCTAACTGCTATTAGAATGTTTTATACCTACTTGAGAATTTTTAAGAAAATAAACATACCGCAATGCGAGGACATCTATTCACGCGTTAGACTCATTTGTATGCCGCAATAAACTTTGGGTTCAATTTTATGTTGACTGCTCTTGGATCAAATATTTTGAATGAAAAATTCGCAGTAAGGTCTAGCGTCGATTTTTCTAATATATTAGGCTCCCACAATATTTAGGCTCCCCCCAAAAAAACTGTAGCAATCTCATTTTCGCAAAGAAAAAACAAGCAAACACATGAAATAAACAAGTACCACATCAAATAACGTATTAAATAGAAATCATATTAAGACACTAAATTATATTTAAAGGTAAAATAGGGCGCGCAAAGGAAACTGCGCTCAACAAGCCCTTGCGAAATATCTGAATTTGATGTGTCAGTGATCCCTCACCTTGACTTAGATTGTCGAAATAAAATTTCCCATGACGTCACGTGAATTTAGGTTGTACACGTAACTTTATATTCCCCAAAAGATCAGGTACATCATTATGTTCTTGAATGAGCATCGGCAGAAACACTATTTCTTGTCAATGCCTGCGGTCACTTGAAGTGCCCCAGATTAAGACGTTAATTAGAAAATTATATTCGAAATAATGTATCCTGTGAAAATGCCATACATAAGCTACGCGATCCAAACGCGTATGTTATACCAGGAACAACAATGAACTCAATACTGCCCCCTGGGGAACTCCTGAAGTTAGAGAAACCGTATTTCATAAAATATGTTAAGCCAGCTAGAGCATAGTTTCTTGTAAATTCCAAATAACTATAAACACATTCACAAAGCTTAGGAGCGACGCCATATTGTTAAAGTTATGTACAGGGTGCGGCAATAAAGACTAACAGTTATCACGCCTTTACAATTTTAAATTTAAAACGCACATACCTGCAATTGCGCGTGCGAATATAGTTTCAGAGGTTTTATGAATATTGTCTTCAGAGTTAAATTTAGTTGCTGCAAAATATGAAAAAATAGAAAAAGATATGGCGGCCGCGCTTTCCTGTGCCCTATACAGGGCATTCTTTGTCTGCACATTGGTTTGTGAGCTCGCTCCGAAGTTATCATTGCTGATATATGTTAGGAGTATTATAGATATCGCGATTAATTTCCTCATCGCCAACCTCTATTATTGGCTTTTAGGGTTCTGTCGTTCAGAAAGCCAACCGGAAGCAAGATCGTAAACCAATGTGCAGACGACAAATTGGCTGTTGTAAAATGTAGAAAATGCACGGCCTCCGATTTTAAAAAAAAAAGTTTTATTTCCTCAGAACTGAGCTCTACAAAATAGATAAAGAACTTCTGACGAAACCACGTACTGGTGCGCATTTACAGGAATGTACGTTTGAAATTCGAATTTTTCAAGGCGTGCCAAATGTGTTAGTTCTTACTGCTGCACCCTGTACAAGAAACAAATTATTAACCCTCTTGAAAGCCTTTGAAATACCGAAAGGCATCGAGTCAACTCGAACCAATTTTTAAATAACCGGACCTCCGTAATGTAATAAAAAAAATAGTTTCAACTCAGCACCCTCGAGAAACCACGTCCCTGCTGCGTCACGTACTCTGATACATGAGAGAGAAGAAATACTTTTGCATAAATGTCTCAAATATTTTATAACCCCACGCTCACAGTCACAGAAGACGGTGGTTCTATTCAATACAGTAAACACCATATTTACGCATGGACATGAAAAGAGCTCCATTCCAGATAGCGGGAAATACACTGGCACGCAAGGACAGGTTAACAATATGAGCTAGTACGGGATCCAGCAACCGACAACAACGTTTGATAATAAAGAGATGAATTGTATCTGTGTTGTTGTCACCTGGTACCGTGGTGAGAGTGGCACGTGAGGCATGAAGCGTGCGACCATTCTCGGCCACCAGGGGAAGCAAACGATCACCACACCTCTCTTCCTTGCCTACCATACCAAATCTAAAGTGTAAAACGTGCATTCGGTGAGTTTGCTCAGTTGGTGGTTTGGCTAATTGAATATCCCTTGCTACTCCCAGGAAATGAAGCCGGCGAAGCGATGACTGCCCTTAATTTGCTCTCGTGCCGTCTGCTCGTACACACCGCTCCCACGATCTGCTCAGATCTGCTCATAATCTTGATTGTTAGCAAAGTAGGTTGACACCCTTGTATTTTTAATAAGCTCAAAAAGCATGTGTTATTTTTCTCTTCGGAGACTAGTTTTACTAATACTGATAAATACTAACACTAACACATTCAATTTATTAATCAAACGCACTACCTGAAGATTTAATTTATCAAACCATGCAAACGTTTTTGGGCTTGTTAAGCAAACAAATTGACAATGGTGATAATGGAGATGTCAACGCCGGCCTCGATGATTTACTAAACACTAAAAATCTGCAGATTTTCGTCCTCCCACCTGGTGCCACAGAAAAGCCTCAAACCAGATTTTAATTCCTTAGATTTAGTGCCCTGGTGCTTGTGCCGCCTCTGGGAAGCTTTGGAGCACACGTATGTAAAGTTCGCAACGTCGCCACGAGATGGCGCCACAGCCCCACTGGCTGTTGTAACTCTCCATGAAACACCTTCTGCAAGCGCCGACAGATGGCGGCGGGGTGCATAATTCGAGAGGCTTGGCGATAGGACGGATAGTAACGGAGGCCGCACTGTACTGGCTGGCTATAGGGAGCGACGCCGTGACGTAACACCTAACAACCGAAGATCGCCGGCGACGTCCCCCTTCGCCAACTTGCGCACCGCGCAGTTGGGGGACGGCGGGTGAACCACTAAAGTGCGTGTTAACCCCCCCCCCCCCCCCCCGCCTCCACTGACGCTGCATCGCAGCGACAGCTGATAACAAAATATTAACCCACCTCGGGCCACCGATACTTGTCGCCTCGCGGTGCCCACCCGTCAACCCAAGTACGCCCTAGCCTCGCTGTCCTCCACTGCACCTCGGTAGCTAGGTCACGCCATCGCTCTTCTCTCTATACCCAGCCAATCCTGTACGGCCACCGTCCTTCATGCTCATGCTCGGTGTCCTGATCTGCTTGCATTCGTGAGAAGAGGGGTTTCGGTAATATTCCCCTCGCGGAGCAGTGCTAAGAGGCTGCGTTATCATGAATTGTTGTATATAACCACTGCGCAAAATGCTCACACTGTTGGCAAAAATAACACGCCCAGACGTGTAAACCGTTGTCCCATGGCGGACACGTCGAAACGTGTTCGTTTTACACGAGGCCATCTGTGTTTTTCGTCTACACATGAGGTGCTGTGTAAACTTAACACGCTACACCGTGTCTGCCTTCCGCAAAACCGTTTCGAGCGTGTTCCTTATGAAACATGGCGGCCAGCGGCCGAGAACAGGCGAGAGACGAGCCCAGCGAGCCGCGCGTCTTTTAGCCGAATCGAAAGCACACAGGGCGCGTTAGTTCTCGTGCGATGTCTTTTATACACAGTAAAGTCTCCAAGCGGCGGACGTAGCTACTTGCAAAGGTACGTACGTGCGTTGTCGGCGGTCGGCGGCGTCGGTAGCTTCATCAAGCCGCTAAACAAAAAAAAAAAAAAAAAACGAATGCCGAATTTACATGGGTAAATAACTTGAGCAAACTATTTAGAACTGGGCGGTAACTTGCGCCACCTATCGAGATTTCTAGCAGTACTGTTTAAAAAAAGACGAGTCTGTTAACACTGCGAACGACCACGACTACACAGCAACCCTACATACAACGCAGGCAACACAGCACAGAGCTATACAGCACCGACATGTACACAAACACAACAACCGACACTACGCCCGACACTTCCTACTCGATATCCATTTCTCCCCGCGGCGCATATAAGCTTGGCATATGCGGGTGAGCTCTTTGGTCGCTGACCATTACAGATTTATAGAAGAATACACAAAACAGGGCGCAATGGACAGCCGTGTGTTAGAACTGTTTGCATTTAAAATGTATGGAGCCAAAATCTATAATGTTAGTCCGTTGCAATAAATAACGATATGTTAACAATAAATCTTAAACCGGTTAAGAAAAAGTTCAAATTTTTGTTATTTTCTTGCTTAACCAGTGTTATGAGTAGTCCGACTAGCTTGAATCAGATAGGAAAACAAATTATTGGGAGTTTGTCATTACGTATACAATAATAAATGAAAATGATCCTTGCCCAAAGCATTTTTTATATATTTTTGTGAAGGACATCCGGACATCCGCCCAACACTTCACTTCCGCTAGTTGCAGCAGTTGCAGACGGGAGCAGACGCCTTCACTTTTGGGGCGTTTTGATGCAGTTTGTTGTCGTATGTCGTGTCGGTGTCGAGAAGAGCGGTGGGGCTTGGGAGTTCGTGACCGGTGTTATTCGTGAACACTGGTGTGGGGCGCTGATGCGGCTTTTTTTTATACTGCCACCACCCCGAACTTTGAAGATACACGGGCCCGTAGCAGTGCATTATGCTGAATCGCGAGCTCCTTCTCTGTTGACGTCGCTTTCCTGGTACCACTCGTGGATACTGCAAGCGTTTAAACAGTGTGCACCGTCTCGCCTACATCCCCGGTGACGTACTCGACCTGTTGAAACTTATTGCTTCCGTCATTTTAGAGTACGCAAGGCAGTTATCTCGTTGGTCTGGTTTCGGTTATAAAAGCAAGGCAAAACACTCGTAGTTCCTGCCCTCAGTACACGTTGGACATCTTCCACACTTTGACACCGGATAACTGAATGAACGAGGATTTACATTCACTTCCGAGGTTACTCTCGCCGCTTTCTCACCGTTGAGCAGCAGGATGAGCTGGCGACAAGCCGCGGATGAAAGGCTTGAGCATCAACAGCCCAAGCGCACTCGGTGCCGATGCAGGCGACGCGGGTTTCTGTC